GTCACTGTGAGCCTGAACCACCTCTGTATCCATGGGTTGGGTTTTGGAGGATGGATTATGTTTCTTTCTTGCAACCAAGGTTTTAAAAATGGTATGTCATAACACATTGCTGAACAATGAAATGCAGTTAGTGAGTCAAAAGCCACATTGATATTTCAGTAGAAGACAAACTATCAGACAGTATTATTTTGAGCAACTTTTGTTTCAAAGTTTTATCACATGTATGTTTTCTGGGTCTTGATATGCAATTGAATGTTTACTGAAAATTGTCCAAAAATGTTTGCCAACACTTCGAAGAGTTAATTTTTGGAGGCCATAGTAGCTGTAGGCCAGGAGGGGACAGTGGTGGTGGGGCGCAGGCACTGGCAGGGTCACAGATGGCTGGCTGGGTCGTGCTGGTGTCCAGGAGAGAGAGAAGAAAACCAGGAGGTGGCACTGATATAGAAATCTGTTCAAGAATATAGACATGACAACCGCAGCAGGTTCAAATCTCTCAGCCATAAGACAAAGTGGCCGCTTCCTACGGATTTTTCTCTACTATGTACAGAGAGCCAATGTCCGTTACTGGAATTGTCTTGGTGTGAGCTGCCTGCCTGCCCCATCCGGCGATGTGCTAGTTGAGAAAGAAGGCTGGTACACTCTTTGGCTGACTCATAGCATGTGACGCCAACATGGCATCAAGCTGTACTCTGAGGCTAGGGCTCCAGGACAAAATAAAAATGATTAAAAAGTATTTTTTATTCCCTTCCACCAGGGTAGAATATTTGAAAAACTAAGCACAAGGGAAAATATGTATCCCCCACCATCCCAATCTTACAGATAGCCGCCATTAACATTTCACCTATTTTACACACCTATGTGCACACACGTGTACACACAGAGACACTTTATCCACATAAACTGTATGTAGAATCTGAAATCTTCATATTTGTGCATTTAATTTGCTCCTTTCCTTTGGTCTTCTGCCCGCTTTCCATTGTCCACTCCCCAATCTGGGTTAAACACAGGCGGGGCAGGTCAACAGATTGAGAATTGAGTATTCAATTAATTCTTCACCCTCGGTTGGAGTCAATGTCTCTTTGAAGAGAGATGCTTGCAAGGAAAAGTGATGGGATTCATGAATTTTTCTTTCTTTACATTTTGGACAAATCCCTGGGGTGGCCTGACTCCCACGCTCTTCATAGGGTGCACACACACATAATGATGGCGCTCGCCTGATGCAAGCCTTCCACTGCCATTCAAGGAACACTGTCCACCTACTTCTCTGACCTGCCCAAATATCCAATGGTTGGATGACACGTCCAGCGTGTCTTTGCAATGACACGGTAGAAACGGAAGAACAAATCTTTACTTTTCTAATGTGTATTTCCTGTGCCCAATCCAGAAACCATACACTTGCATATGGTGCAATATTTATTAAAAAATGAAAAACTCAGGGATTCCCAAATGTACAGCTGTTCGGTATCTTATGAATTCTACATTTCTGTTTTACAGTTTCCTTTCCCACAATGCTCTATGTAAGCACCCATTTTATAAGTCCAGCAATGCATTCTAAATTAGGCTTGGAGCAAATGAAATACAAAAATTCGAATATATCTATTACACTGTTGAATAACAGTGAGGCAAAGGTGGAGAATATAGGCTTTTGAATGTTGACTACTACAGCAAATGCCCCCCCAAATTTTCTTTCTTTCTTTCCCTTCTTTTCTCGCAAGAGCCCCAAGAATTGTTCAGTGGCTTGATTCTTCCAACTCAGCAAGGCCTGCACATGCACAAACATTGTCTTTCTACAGTCACATAGACTTTATACTACAAGCAAACATCAAGTCACTGAAAGGCAGTTGGTCATCATTCTACGCAAACGTTTAGACAATAGAGGCAAATATATGGTGTTTGTATCCGGAATGTAGAACCAATCGGCTTCACTTATTCAAAGTTGGTGTGAATGAAAAAATTCCAAATCAGTTCCTTTTCCCACAAAACTGAATAATAGCTGCTTAGGCTTACAAAAGAGATTCTGAAACTAAGTGGTTTTCAAAATGACTTCTGAATCATCACAATATTTTAAATAAGTGATCAATTCATAAATAAGAGTCACTGGCAGGCATTTCTAATGCATAGCAATCCTACAGAGAGTTTCAAGGCTTTAATCTTATGGGAGCAAACAGTCTCATTTTTTCCCCACGCGGCAGCTGGTGGGTTTGATGTACTGAGCTGGTCTTGTAGTTCTCAGTCCATGGTGACAACACCACCAGGTGTCTGTAAAATACACTCTGAAATGGGTTTGGAGATTGAAGGCAATTTAGTGTGCCTTGGTGGTGCAGTGGTTATGTGTTGGGCTGCTGACTGCAGGGTCAGCAGTTTGAAACCACCAGCCCCTCAGGGGAAGAATGATGAGACTTTCTTTCTACTCCCGTTTAATTAAAGGGTTCTACTCTGTCTGATAGGGTCATTCTGAGTCAGAATCGACTTGATGTCATTTAAGCAACTCTTTAAAGACTATATTCTCTCTAGTTCAGCATCAACTTGTCCTTAAGAAAGAACTAAGAAAAGCCCCTTTTTCAGGTATATTTCAGAAAGCATTAGTCACAGACGCTCTGAAAAAGCAGCTCCTGTTATTTCAGTCTACGTAACTCACTGGGAATCACTGTGTACAAGCCTCCATTTGTGTGTGATATAAAACAACCAATACATTTAGTTAAGACAATATAACCATATAAGGAATATACCATGCCTTAGGCCATACCTAAATTAGCGTCCATGTATTATTGAAGTGTTAATATGGCTGCTTTTTTATCACTTCCATAAAGATTCTGGAAGCCTAAAAGAGTGCTGATTTACTCCTTGTGTTTCATTGCATTTTAAAATATGCATAAGCTTTGTGTCACTGTACTGAGACAGAATAGGAGAAGCAGTTTAAGGCCAGTTAATGTTTAACTTAATTTTTTTACCTTCTGATCTTTGGCCTTCAACTCAAACCAGAAATTGAACTTACTGTCATCGAGTTGATTTAGACTCATGGCAACCCTATAGGTCAGCAGCCCTATCGGAAATAGCTCTTTAAGGGGTGGAAAAATCTCATTTTTCTCCCATGCTGCTGCTGTTGGTTTCAATGGCTTACCCTGCAATGAGTAGCCCAGTGTGAAACCTTGGCTCATTTATTACACACGGTGGTCACAGGCTGGGAAGAAAGGACTGTACTGATCTGAATTAGACAAGAAATGATGAGTCATCAATTGCTAACATGAGGAAAATTCCAATATAGCGTGGCAATTTGTTTACATAGTAACACATCACTGAGGTCTTGAGAAGTATTATATAATGGGAAAAAAAAATCTGGTGGTAAACATCGGACAAAGCAAACCACTAGCGACATTAGAAATTACCTGTTTAGTTTAAAATCAACAGCAGCAAGACAGAGGCAGCCTCTGGATGGGATCAAAATAAAGTAGTGACTGAATCAACGGGCTCAAGCTCTCTTGCTGTTGGATTCTGGGCTTTAGAAGAAGAAAGATAGACTGGTGCCTTGTGGAACTGGTCAAGGAGTTATGAGGAGCTCCAGAAAGGATGTAAAGAACCCAACTGGACCCACCATTCTAATGGAAGACATGTGGGAACTGATAGCAACTCTCTGAGCTAAGTGGAGGGCAAACAAGCAATAAAAGAAGTTAGAGCCGTGGTCTGAGGCTAGGTCTCGATGAGCTTATGCATCAATGAGCTCGTGCTATACACGTAGGAGGGAAAGAACACTGCTTGATTCAAACAAAAGTGCGTGGTAGATAAGTCTTATTTTGTGCCTGTCTTTATCATAAGCATTGGCATGGAATTTACAAATAATTTGAAGAATACGTTGCTTCCCAAGAAAATACTCCTTACCTGAGCTTCCTTTTGGAAGGTGAGGACTAACACCAACTACCGTGTTTCCCTGAAAGTAAGACATCCCTCCCCCAAATAAGACCTACTTACAGTTTTGCCTCTCGCTGAAATATAAGGCATTGCCCTGAAAATAAAACCTCCCTGAACATAAGGTCTCCCTGATAATAAGGCCCCCCGAAGCTACCGTAACTCTGGACTCTGGACCGTAGCAGCGGGCGCCTCC